CATGTGGTGCTGGGGGATTGAACCGCGGTCCCTGATGCCTTGCCAAGCTTGTTCTAAGTAGGTGCTTTAGACCACTGAGCCATCTCTCCAGCCCAGCTCAGTTGTTTAAGTGTCTGCTCATGCAGATGCAGTCAGGCGCAGGATACTGTAGTTTGATCTCCACCTCCACTGGCATTACCAGACCCACCCCTAAGGCAGCCTGAGCTAGCCAAGAAAAGGAAAAAAAAAATTAAAAAAAAAAAAAAAAAAAAAAACAACAAAGTCTGATTCAAAGCACATCTAGCAATTAAACTGCTTTTTCTTTAAAATTTTTTTTAAATTTTATTTATTTGTGTGTGTGTGGCCAGCTCAGCCCACCAGGGGGCAGGGCTGGCTGGCATGTGGTGCTGGGGGATTGAACTGCAGTCCCTGTGCTTTGCTAAGCTTGTTCTAAGTAGGTGCTCTAGACCACTGAGCCATCTCACCAGCCCCTATTTTTTCCTTTTAAAGGATTTGTGGCTATAGTAAAATTCCCACACCCCTTTTTTGTTGTTTTTTTTGAGACAGGGTCTTACTATGTAGTTCGGGCTGGCCTTGAACTCACTATGTAGCCCAGGCTGATCTCCAGTTTACAACTGGGATTATAGGAATGTGCCACCACACCTGGCAGAACCCTATCATTTTGACATGTTTAGCCTAAAATGCAAACTTTGGTCCAGGGCAGGACTGGCATTACTCTGAAATAACAAAAAGCAGGTGTAGAATGCAAACCAGGTAAGAGAATTTAATTGTGGAAAATAAAAAGAATTTTCTTTCTTTTTTTTTTTTAGATAGGGTCTCTTATATATACCTCAGGCTGGCCATGGTGACCCTTCTGCCTCAGCCTTCTGAGTAACAGATGTGCACTACCACACCCAGATTAATTTGCTGTGTTTTTTGGTGGAACTGGGGATTGAACTCAGGCCCTTTGAGCCATCTTCTTGGCCCCTGAATTTTCTGTGTTCTTGCAAACAGTATAAACATCTACCTAGACTAAGATAAGTTTTAAAAAAAAAGTCCAAGTTAATTAACTGCCCTAAAATCTACACTATTCCTCAGTTTAGAGACAATTTCACTAGCTAGATTGTATTGCATTTTTCTAAGAGCTAAATTTATGCTTACCAAACTTGTCTGCTCCACATCGGAAGCATTTCAGTCTTTTCCTGAAATTGTTAAGGCAGCACTGAAAGAAAAAATGTTGTATTTATTTGTTTGATGAGGTTAAGAGTCTCATGCAGTTTAGACTGGTCTCAAACTCAATGATCCTCCTTCCTCAGCCTCCTATGCACTGAGATTATAGGCATGCAACACCACACTTGGATTTGTGAGTATTTCTCACATTAGGCAGGCATTCTAGTAACAGTGTACACATTAGAATAATGAGGCCACAAGAAAGTTCAGTAACTAATATAAAAAAAGTAGAGCCACGAATGTGAGTGCATGCCTGTGATTCCAATTCCTAGGAAGCTGAGGCAGGAGGATCACTGCAACTGTGAAACCAGCCTAGGCTACATATTGAGTTTAAGGCCACAGTAAACTACATAGGGAAACCCTGTCTCAAAACATTAAAACAAAACAAAATCAAAATCAAAAAATGCCCCCCTCCCATGCACACCAGTGACAGGGGCCAACAGAACTTTCCTTTATTTATTTTTGGTACTGAGAATCAAACCAGGACCTGGCACTTGTCAGGCAAACAACCGTGCTGCTGAACTATATTCCCACCCTACCCCCAAACTTTCTGTAGTAAGGTCCTCAATGATTTCTGTTCAACACTCTCAAGAGAATATGCCAAAGTTAAGTGTTCTGGAAGTCAACAAACAGTAAGTGAAAGATGCTTAAAAGTTTTTTTTTTTTTTTTTTGGTGGTACTGAGGATTAAATCCAGAACATGCCATAACTGAACTTTATCCCTAGCTCTTTATTTATTTGGCGGAACCGGGGATTGAACTCAGGCTCTTGTGCTAATCTCCCCAGCCCCAACTCTTTATTTTTTGAGATAGAATCTCACTCACTTGCCCAAGCTATTGCAGGACTTTGTCTTGTCTCAGTAGCTATGACTATACCTATGTGTCACCACATGACGTCCCTGACCTTATTGGCTTTGGAACCATAATCAAGTATTACATATTAATGTTAAAATCTTAACTGAAAGCTCTGAGTTTTGCAATCTTGGTCTCCATAAAACAAAATCTATTAGGTTCTAATCATTCTATCCTCTTATGCCAATACAGGACCTATAGAAAGTCACAAAACACAAAAATTACCTTATCATGAGATAAGGTAATTTTATTAATCTCCTTTTTCTGGACATCAAACAGAAAAACAGCAAAGCCCACAGGGCCTTCAAGATAGCTCAGCAGACTAAGCACCTGCTTAGGCAAGTGCAGGGACCAGGGTTTGATCCCACAGGCTGTGCTGGTCCTGGCTCTACAGACCGTGCTGGTCCTGCCCCTGGGTACGCTGACCAGCAACCAAGTCCAGGAATAGAGGCACACACCTGTAATCCCTGTGCTGGGGAGGCTGAAAA